CCTACAAAAGAAGGAAACTTTTTATACCCAGAAAGAAAAAAAAAAGATGTTTGTTTTTCTGTCTGGCAATTATATATATAAGAAAAGGATTTCACCAAACATTCACTTATTTAGCATATTAATAGAGTATTTCTTATGCACCATGTATTTTGGTAAGTAAAGGAGATAAAAAGGTAAATAAGATACGATCTCTATCCCAGGAAATTTCTGTGATAAATACTATTTGCAAAAAGAGTGCAGTGGTGATTTAAGTTGAGGGGAACCCCAGAAAAACTTCACTGGGAAACAGTTAAACCAGACATTTTCTAGGGTGATGGGGAAAATGGGTGCATTATAGGAGGACACCAGTTAAACTAGCTGACTGGTGCGAGCAAGAAAGGTATAAAAGATTCTTAGAGCTCTCCTTAACATTTTACCAGTTGTCTTCCTTTCAGAACATCTGTGTGAACTTTTCTTCTTTATGGGTTAACCCAAATGAAAAGACCCAATATCACCTACTTGTCACTTAAATAAGAACGTTCTTTTTAATTGAAAGAACACTTGGTATAACAGGTATACCATAAGTATCAAGTTAAGGTAAATTCTTCGCTGCAGTGTATCTGAGAAAGGATTAGAAATAACTGAAATCTAAGAGTAAGAGACTTACTGTTTTTATTTATTTATTTTTAAATTTTATTTTATTTTATTATGTTATGTTAGTCACCATACAGTACATCATTAGTTTTTGATGTGGTGTTCCATGATTCATTGTTTTTGTATAACACCCAGTGCTCCATGCAATACATGCCCTCCTTAATACCCATCACTGGGCTAACCCAGCCCTCCACCCCCCTCCCCTCTAAAACCCTCAGTTTGTTTCTCAGAGTCTATAGTCTCTCATGGCTCGTCTCCCCCTCCGACTTCTCCCCCTTCATTTTTCCCTTCCTTCTCCTAATGTCCTCCAGGCTATTCCTTATGTTCCACAAATAAGTGAAACGATATGATAATTGACTTTCTCTGTTTGACTTATTTCACATAGCATGATCTCCTCCAGTCCCATTCATGTTGAAGTAAAAGTGTATTCATCCTTTCTGATGGCTGAGTAATATTTCATTGTATATATGGACCACATCTTCTTTAATCCATTCTTCTGTTGAAGGGCATCTTGGCTCTTTCCACAGTTTGGCTATTGCAGACATTGCTGCTATGAACATTGGGGTGC